TCTTTTCCAACCTAAACGATTCTATGATTCTATAATAATAAAAAATTGTCTACAGAAGTAGTTTCTTCTTCTAAGAAGAACAGATGGAGATTATACAAGTGTGAAGACAGCAAGGGGATGAACAACAACAACTTTGATGGCAGCTCACAGCACTGTAGTTTAACACATTGATATTACTACTTTTAAGTACTGCCATAATGCTTAGACTGTTATTAACTAATAGCAGATGGAGTCTCCATCCTTGGAGATATCCTCCAGAGGTTCCTTCCAACTTCAACCATTCTGTGATTTAGTGAACTATATTACCTGTATTAACAAACTATGGTAAGAGCTGTTCTGTACCACTTCTGTGGGTGCTCATAGTGATGCTAGCAGGCTTCCTTCTTTATACTTTGAATTTCCAGAGACTGTAACGACCTTTGGAGCTAAAAGTGTCTGTGCATAGAATAGATCTGTGCAACTACAGGCACATCAACCTTCTTTATAGTATCCAGTGATTTATCATTCACTTTGAATGAAAGACTGTTTAAAGGCAAGCAAGTAAACAGAAAATGGGACACAATGAATCATGGGTATATCATTGGTAGATCATTCCAGTTTATTCTAATAGCCTCCTTTCATGTTTTTTAGACAAAGGAAGTGGAACAGTTCTAACCTACTTGGGCTTCAGTAAAGTATTTGAAAAGGGGATTACAACTGCGTAAAGTTTAGCATTTGAGAGATGTTACCTGCAAAGACCTTCTAGGATCAGTTATAGGACTGATCTGGTCCGTATTTGTTTCAGTCTACTTAATGATGTTCATACAAAAGTAGTTTCAGTTGTTCAGTGTTTCTGAAATTACTGAAACTAGCAGATAGCACACCTAACTAACTGACCTTCCTGCTACAGAGGCATGCTCTACAGGAAAAACTGGACAACCACGAAGGCATTAATAATTGAAATTAAGTGAATTTTGGCAGTATGACATGCAAGAGCATGCACTTCCCAAAAAAACCCCGAAGCCCCAAGAAATTAAAAAAGGGGGATAAAGGTCTGGATATATTAGCAGAGTTTAAGATGACTTTACGTAATTAATATGTGATAGCTGTGGAACAGAAGAAGCTTATTTAGGGTATACCAATACACTGTAGGTTACGGGTATTTTCAGTAGAGGCAGGAAACAGAAGAATGAGGCACATGTGAAACCTCCTCTGAGATAATATATACATTTAAGTCTAGTCATCCACTCCCAAAAAGACGACTTCAAGCTGAAACATGAAAGCAGAACGTGATCGAGATTAATTTATTTTTGATGAATAATAGCTGGAAAGGAAGAAAGGCCGCTGCAGATACCAAAAGCGAACAGGTATAAACTGGCATGGAACTAGAACATTAGAACACTTCTTGCAATCCAAAGACTGAAGTTCAGGAGTAGTTTTCCAAGAAGCAGTGGGACAAACCCCCAAATTAACTGATTTTAAAACATAGTTTAATCAATCTCTGAAAGCAACGATATGATATGGCTGCATTTGACAGCAAGGACACAGACAAATTCAGGAAATCATAACTTGTAAGTACTCCAAAGGGTACTTTGAGATAAAAAGTGGGGTGAGATGGGAGTCCGGGATAGCAAGGATGTGAAAAAGTATGTAGACATTTTTGCACTCTTGATTTGCATGTGATGCAGTCCCATTCAAATGTATGTGCCTTTCCTTTCAGCTGCACTGGTTCACATTCTTCAAATTTAATATGTGAATCAGTATAAGGTATAGTACGAGCTTGGCTCATACTGTAACAGATATCACCTTACTTAACAGTGTTAAGATACTCTTTCCTTAATAAAGAAAATATCAACTCTGAGGTCTGCCTCTTGAGGCATGTTGCTAAAAAAGGTGATGCTTTACATCAGCATGCTTACTTCAGGAAAAAAAAAAGCAGTATATTCTGGCTTCTGACATTGTAAACCCATCATCTCTACTATCCAGCTATTTGCCTGTTCAAAAAACAATGGAAATGGAAATTGCTTTTTTCTTTAAGACAACTATTTCACACCAAAGGGCTATTCTAAGGGTTTTTTTTTAATTGGGTTTTTTTTACTACTTTACTATCCTATTTTGTATTTACTATTTTTCTACTATGATTAATAAAACCAGGTCATAATCATTTGAGAAAACAACAGAACTGAGAACATAGAAGGAAAGAGAAAAGAAAAAAATTGTTTCAATACTAAATCTATGAGGCTTTGAATTTCTTATTAATCCTTTACTTAGCAAACAGCAATAGAAAATGTACTAATATCCAGTGGTCAGATCTCTTGTTTCCACTACTACCAATGAGCTAAACCAGCAAAATTTCCTTACTTCTGACCAGTCCAAAGCAACCCACTGTGGGGGACAGGACTGATTGTTACAAGGCTCTTTTTCAATAGGCCGGTGTGTTAAACAGTTGGTATTGTCCAGCGTCTCCTCCTCAGAAGGTCCAATCTTTCTGATACAGAGAACTGTTCGTGAACGCATTCCTCCATCACAGGTCTTACTGCATTCTGACCAATCTCCTATAAACCATCTGGACAGAAAAAGTTAGGAGACTCAGTTAATGCATTTCAGAAACAGAGTAGATAATTGCACAAACTCAGAATCCAAATAGTTTAAATTATTAAACCAAAATAATTGTTAACAATACACCTATTCACAGTAAAATGAAGTAGAAACCTAAGCGTCTTTTTACTGAACATTTTAATTTATGCCTCACTGCAATCATATCTTCCAATACTAATACTACTTTGTATTTTTGTAGAGCAGCAATTTCCAGCCTAGGCTATTGTAATTAGAAAGGATTGTTGAGTGTGACAAAACTGCAGCTATTTAAGTAGATTTGTACTGGACTTACTTGAAATTATTTCTCTGACAGTGGTTTGCAACTGCAAATGTTTGAGAACCACTGCTGTAGGTTACAGCACAAGCTAAAAGCCAAGATAGTTGCCTCTCTAGTGTCATTACAATAAAATAATTTGATCTCAAAATTGGGCTTTCTGAGCATTAATTCTCATCTGATTATGAAACATTTCTAAGCTTTTTAATAAAAGGCTATACTGAAATGAAAAATATTTTTATTTATTAGAGTAAAGCTAACACTAGTAAAACATTAATACATTGCATGAAAAAATGATCTCAACAAATATTTAAAAAATTTAAAGCACTGCATGATAGCTGCTAGAGGGAACTTCTGAGTATTTGCATGTGCATAGCAAAAGTCAGGAGTTGTACGGTGTATTTAGATTACTCCGTGTTGCCGCAGAAATTAAAGCAGCTGTTAATATGGCTGTAATGTGGGGTTTTTTTGGTTTTGGGGTTTTTTTTTCCTACTGATGAACGGTTAATGCCGCTCAATTCACTGGAAATATCTCTTCACATTGTTGAGCACATTTGGTCTTCAGTATTTCATATGTTGATTAGATACACTCGCCTGAATCATCCTTGCAAAGGATGAAGGTGAAGTCTTGTATGCTATCACATGCTGACAACACACCAAAAGTGCCAGGCATGTCAGTCACTGTGGATGTTCCTGGAGGTATGCTTGGTGCTGACTCATAAGATTTGTCATTTTATGAAGCCTCTGTCAAAAAAAATGTGCTGCTATCCTGTCTTGTGTTACAGAATGTGTAATATATTCTAATATGAACGTAGATCAATGCAGAGATGCAAACAAATACGCCATATTCTGTCATTAATTTCCCGGCAAAAGAGAATTGTGTTTCTTCACCACCAAACTAATGCTTTTACCACAGTAGGGAGAATTAGAAGCTTTTTCAGAGCTTTGGAGAGGCTGAAGTGTTAATTTTTAGCTGGTATTATGATTTGCTCAAGAGCATTCTCATGTACCTTTTACATTTATACTGTATGACAAGACAGTACTATTCATAATTCATAGAACTATGAGAGTTACCTGCATCATTTCTTGAAACCTGGAACTTATTGTAATAACAAACAAAATACTGTGAACAAACATAGTCTTTGCTGCGGCTCAGGGACATCAAGTGTAATGTAACTGGCATTCAGTTAGAGTAACATTTTCATAACTTTTGATATACACCACAGGGAATGCAGAATTGTGTTAATTAAAAAAGGAAATATTTGGCCACTCTATATGAAGAGGAAGTCTCGCTGGGTGAGAAATCTTTCAGCCAAAAGGATCAAACTTCTTTGGGTAGCTGTCTGTTATTTGAACAGCTGCCTTCTAGACTACTTACAGGATCAGGAATCAAGAACCCTTCCTTAGGAGTTTAGCGTTTTGTATTCACATGTGGGGAACATGAGAATGGAGGCAGATGTGGGCTGAACTGCTCTGACATATTCAAGCAGATGCTGATACACATCTACTCACTTTCTGAATCTCAATTACTTGAGTTTCACCATGGCCATCAATGTCCCTGCTGTACTGGATGAAGAATCTAAAGTGTCCTGCCTTATGGGTTGGGGTTTTTTTCTTGGTTTTGTTTTTTAAATAATGTCAGTGTAAAAAGTAAAAATTAAATAGTTTGAAATAACTATGTTAATACTACTTTTTAAAGTGCTAATCTGTTAATAGTTAAGCCACACAAAGGAAGGGGTAGGGATGTGTTTGGTAAAAAGGAACTGACCAAACATGACCACTTCCCAAGTTCTGCTCTCAGGTACATGGTGTGAGGGCTTAGTTAGTGCACTTATAGCCATGCTAAAGAGTGTTATCTGAATAGAATCCAAGTGCATATCCTTGGAGGGTAAACATATATTTACAGATAGACTGTGGGGACAATGATTTAGACCTACTTTAGACCTGTTCGAGATAGCACATTCACACTGAAACACACACAAGGTGAGAGCAGTGTAATGGCTTCATTTCTGTCAAATCAGTATGGTACATGACACAAGGGAAGTAAGTGTAGAAGACATTGTCCTGCCATCCTGTAACCAGTC